GCTTTGATATGTCCCTTGGAGAGTTGGAGTGCCCATTGCGAGTTTTCATCGCCAACGAGCACGGGGTATCTACATCGAGCGTTTTTTCAGGGTTGCATTTTGGAGATTTTCAGGGTGTCTTACCCAATTGATCTGACCCTTATTCCCATGAGGGATGTGTGTGTGATAGTAGGGATGGACTGGTTGAGCAGGTATGGTGCGATGATTGACTGTGAGGGTCAGCGGGTGGTAGTTCGAACCCCAAGTGGGGGAGAAATTACCATTTATGGAGAGGGTCCCATGGTAGGATCAACCTTTTGTTCTGGTGCCAGGGCTCGTCGGTATCTTCAGCATGGGTATATGGGTTATCTTGCGTATGTGGTTGATACTTGGGTAGAAAAGGGAGTTTCGATTTCGGATTTGCTGGTAGTCAGAGAGTTTTTAGATATGTTCTCGGAGGAATTACTCGGTGTGCCTCCTGAGAGGCAGGTTGAGCTTGGGATTGATTTGGTTCCCATTGCAGCCCCGATTGCTAAGGCGCCATATCGATTGTCACCACCGGAGATGCAGTCGTTATCCTCATAGCTTCAGGATCTATTGGGTAAGCAGTTTATCATACCGAACAGTTCGCCTTGGGGAGCACCGATCTTGTTTGAGAAGTATAAGGATGGGTCTCACCACATGTGTATTGATTACCGGGAATTGAACAAGTTAACAGTGATGAACCATTACCCCCTTCCATGGATTGTCGACCTTTTTGATCATCTGCATGGTGCATCTTGGTTCTCCAAGATCTATTTGAGGTCGATATATCATTAGATAAGGGTTAGAAATGAGGATGTGGAGAAGACCGTGTTTCGAACTCGTTATAGTCATTACGAGTTCGCAATGACGCCGTTTGGGCTCACCAATGTGCCCGCGACATTTATGGATTTGATAAATCGAGTGAGCAGATCGATGCTCGATCGATCAAAAACTGTTTTCATTGATGATATCTTAGTTTATTCCAAGACCAGGGAGCAACATGAGGAGCGCATTCGAGAGTCGCTGAGATTTTTAAGGCGGGAACGACTGTATGCCGAGTTCTCGAAGTGTGAGTTTTTGTTACGGGAGGTCCGGTACTTAGGATACCTTGTTAACCAAAACGGGATTTTGGTCGAACCGGCCAAGATTAAGGTTGTTATGCACTGGGAGGTTCAGAAGTCTCCCTCGGAGATAAGGAGTTTTCTAGGTTTAGTAGGCTATTATTGGAGATTTATTCATGACTTCTCCAAGGTGGCTGTACCCTTCACTCGTCTGACGAGGAAGGGTTTGGATTTTTATTGGGGGGCTGAGCAGCAGGCTGCGTTCGAGACTCTGAGACAGAAGTTATGTAAGGCCCCAATGTTGACTCTCCCTGAGGGTGTTGAGGATTTTGTTGTTGTATTGTGATGCAAACATCACCGTTTTTGGGGAAGTATTGATGTAGAGGGAAAGTGATTGCTTATGCTTCTAGGCAGTTGAAGCTGCATGAGGTTCGGTACCCAACACATGATCTAGAGTTGGGGTGGTGGTGTTTGCGCTCAAGATTTCTCGGCATTATATATATGGGGTCTGGTGTACCATCTACACAGATCACAAGAGTTTGAGATATCTCATGGACCAGCCAAATTTGAATATGAGACAGTGTAGGTGGATTGGCATGGTCAAGGATTATGATTGCGAGATTCTGTACCACCCGAGGAAAGCGAATGTGATTACTGATGCTTTGAGCCCCAAGTCGGCTAGTTCTTCTATTGGGAGCCTACGTATGAGGATTTTGATTGATTCTCCACTGCTGAATTGGGTTAGGGAGGCTCAAGCCAAGGGTGTCAAGAAGGAGAATTGAAAGCGGGAGTGAATCACGGGCAAGATCGATATGTTATCCACCGATAGTTGTCGACTGTTGACCCAGTGCGGTCGGGTTTGGGTACCAGATTTTAGTGGGGTCAAGCAGACTGTTTTGGAGGAGACACATAAGTCCATATTTTCGATACACTCTGCAGCGACCAAGATGTATGAGGATCTGAGGCTTAGTTACTGGTGGTCGTGTATAAAGAGGGAGATAGCCTGGTATGTTGAGAGGTGCTTGACCTGTAGGATGGTCAAGGCCGAGCACCAGAGGCCGCATGGCAAGATTTAGCCTTTGGAGGTTCCCATGTGGAAATAGGAACCGATCACCATGGATTTCATCACCAAGTTACCTCGGAGGACTAAGGGGTTCGATGCGATTTGGGTTATAGTGGATCGTCTGACTAAGAGTGCCAACTTCTTAGCTATTCGGAAGAGCTCCTTAGCCGGGAAATTGACTGATGTTTATGTGAGCGAGATCGTCACCCATCATGATGTTCATGTTTCTATTAGATCGGATCGAGATGTTCGGTTCACTTCTCAATTTTTGCAGAGGTTCCACAAGGAGCTGGGCATGAGGTTGCATTTTAGCACTTCTTATCATCTGTTGACTGACGGCCAAAGTGAGAGGACCATTTAAACACTTGAGGATATGTTAAGAGCTTGTGTCATAGATGTCGGTGGGAGTTGGGACTCCTACCTTCCCCTAACTGAGTTTTCTTACAATAATAGTTATCACTCTGGTATCGGTATGCCGACATTTGAGCTTCTCTATGGGAGGAAGTGTCGTACCCCAGTCTGTTAGGGAGAGGTTGGTCACAGGGACATGGGAAAGACTGGGGTGGTTCTTCAGATGATGAAACTTATTCAAAAGATCAGGTAGAGGTTGCAGACAGCTCAGAGTCGTCAGAAAAGTTATACTGACAGGCGTCGATCGGAGTTGGAATTCCAGGTCGGTGATATGGTTTTACTGAAGGTATCACCCTGGAATGGTGTAATAGGCTTGAGTAATTTGGTCCCCGATATGTCGGGCCATTTCGAGTATTAGCTAGGGTAGGCAGGGTAGCCTATCGGTTGGATTTGCATAAGGAGCTCAGTCAGATTCACAACACCTTCCATGTTTCTCAACTTCGGAAGTGTGTGGCTGATGATTCAGGTTGATGATCGTCTGAACTATGTTAAGAGACCAGTGACGATTTTGGATAGGAAGACGAAGGCCTTGCACAACAATCTGGTACCTTTGGTCAAGGTCCAGTGGCAGCATCAGAAAGGTTTCGAGCGGACTTAGGAACCCGAGGCAGAGATGCGTGAGCACTACCCTGAGTTATTCGCGGTTGAGGACTTCGAAGATGTAGTCTGATTCAAGTGGGGGGAATTGTAACACCCGTTCCATACATAAATTTAATTTATAAATGTCAAATGTTATTATGGGTGGTCACGGCGTGCTGAAGTCTCACCACTGTGTAGTAGTATTTTATTGGCCACATGCTTTTAATGACTGCCACAACGTGGCTATAGGTGTGACGACATGGTAGCCGTTGTTGGTGAAAACCCTAATTTTTAGGGTTTGAGCCCTATTTAAGCATCATTAACTCCCAAGACCTTTTCCCTCATTAACCTCCATTGCCCACTTCATCCCTTACAAACCCTAATCTCCATTGATGGTTTTTTGAGCCTATTTTTGGTGTTTGGTGTCCATTGTAGAAGGAAGGAAGCCATTGGAAAGCAATGAAGGAGCTCCATGCTTGGTAGATATGAGTTTTACACTTCTTGAACAATCCAGAAGGTACAAAGTTTTGAACTTGATGATTATCTCTTTAGATCTTGCTAGTTTTAGATGTTATGAGTTTTTAGTCCCATATTCTTGGTCTAGGTGAGTTTGGACTACTCTAGACCAAATGAGTTGCCTTTTTGGATGTTTTGGGATGTTTAGAGTTGTAAAAATGGGATCTTGAACCTTCACTTTCCTCCATGTGTGTATTATGTGGCTTAGAACATTGTGAAATGTTAGGGTTTAAGATTTGGACACTTTATAGCAATGCAAAGTCATAGAGTTGGAAACTTTATGACTTAGAATATTATTTGGGCCAAGAACTGAATTTTGGACGAAAGAACTTTAGGGATTAAGAGCTTATTGCTTAATCCATGTTGTGCTTTTACTATTTTTGGAGTTATAATGGAGATCTTTACTCCTTGGAGGGTCTTAAGGGATATAGTTGGAAACTATTTCTTCGTGTTTTTGTGGCTTTTTATGCGTACATTTAATAAAATACAATACCTTGAAAGAATAATTTTTCGATAGAAGCAAATAAAGATTAATGTCATATATTTTCACTATTCTACTATCATAATCTTTTGTATTTCTATTTTTCATCGTATTTTAGTATTGTATTAATTTTTTTTTATATTTTACTAATATAGTTTGATTTTCTAAGTTGTCAACTCAAGTATACACGGGTCTATCAACTAGTAAAAAATATAAGAAAAAACTTAAGCATAACAATATTATAATAAAAGTAAAAATAATATTAGTAATATCAATAATAATATTATAATAAATATTTTGACATTATGTATTTAATAATGTAATTTGCAAAAAAAAAAATATAGGTATTTTTATTATATCGCATATTATTAATATTTACTCTAGAATATCACTTGTCATCAATATTTACTCTACAATTTTAGTCATCATATATATTACCAAAATTTTAAGTAAATAGCATCATTTAACATATAAAATTAAATAATGTTTCAAAAGAAAAGGAAGTGAAATTAAAGTAACCAGGAGAAAGCCCATGCTACGCAACGGGTCACTGGTGTGTGTGTGTTTTTTTTTTTTTTTTGGAGAATTAATTTTGCAACATTTATATATTTTATAGCATAAGTTCGAATGTAGGTTTTGGACATAAGTGGTACATGGAATGTCTTTCGTGTGTATCGAAACTGTATGTAATTTATCGGTTCGATGCCTACTTATTGTCGGTCCTAGTCGAAGAAGGAAGCGTAATTCCTCATCTAGCATAAATTTAGAAAATAATGAAAAGGGTTGTACGCACACACCTACATACAGTGAATTCATGCTAAAAAAGCGAAATTATCAACTGCTGTAAAAAAGCGATATACTTCAAATTATCAACTGCTGTAAAAAAGCGAAATTGAACCCCGAAAAGTGTTTATAAAGTTTATTCTGATAGTTTCCCAATTACTGATAGTAAAAAAGTTATAATTCTATAACTTTTAAAATATAAGAAGCCAAGTTGTTTATTCCTTTTGGTCTTCTAAACCTAGGTGTTATGAATTCCAGACAACAAAAGCAATAACAACTAACATAATCCCTGATTTGAAAACCAAACTTCCCAAAAATGTACAGAGTCATGAAAAAACAGAGGAAATGGTTGTGGTTTCTTTTTGATGTCGATATCTTCCATTGGCATTTTGGATTAACCCAATCAGCAAAGTGTCAGATGCCTGGTGTTTCTTCTTTCATTTCTGTTTTAAATCATTGAATCAAAGATAGTGGGGATTGCCCCCTTGAAAGTTCTTGTGTTCTTGTAGTTTTCTTTTATGGCTGATTGGCTGCTACCAAGTGCATTATGTGCTGAAGATAATGATAGTTTATGACTCACATTCTATAAGACGCTAGTGAATGCATCTTTTGCTAGGGCAAATGCAATTGCTGTGATTTTAGCAACAACCTGAGGAAATCAAATTTGAATATTATAAAAAAAACTCATGATATAAGTAAGGGTAATCTACATAAAAACCATTATATTTTTGTCATTTTGCGGTTTAACCATTATGTTTTATTCTTTGATTTAGCATGTGTTATTTCCAATTTAGCAATGTGTTAAAACTGGCATAGTTTCTCAATAACCTACATGACATCAAACGTATTTATGAAAATAACATCTATTTTTATGAAGTGGCTTCTTATTTGCCAACACGATAGTGTATATAGCCTGTGAAACTGGCAAATGAGAAGGCAATGAAGGAAGCAATATGCCAATTTAGTTTTAACATTGTTAAAGTGGAAATATAACATTTACTTTAAAAATTGTATTTTATATACAACTTCAGAGTGGCTGGAGAAAGAGCCAAAAATGACATTTAGGCACAAGGTTTGTTATGATTTTGCAAGAAAATATAGAAATCAGGCAGGTAAAAATTAATATACCGCTGAAGGATTTCTAATTTCTCCAAGGCAACTACCTTTTAAGATTTAAGTATTTGGAGGTTTGTGGGTTCAAGGATATTTGCTACTTTGGGATATGAAAAACATAAACCTTTTAAGTATGTTCACACCAACCTTGTAAAAATAATTTAAAAGTTCATAATTTCAAAAAGATATTCAACCAAATAATAAAAATTAAATTCAATCAATGCATACCTAGCGTATAAATGTGGATTTTCCACCCCCGATTTTTTCCTTCAATCCAGCAACATCCGAATCCAGTCTTCCCTCCGCTACTTCTCCAATGTTAGGATGAGAATCTTCGGGAAACCAAAAGCCTCTTCCAAATTCGACATTCCATACCCATCTTCGCCATCTGTCACAATAAAATTTCTAAATTTTTAAGATTTAAATAAGATAATTATTTACTTATCAACATGTTCCTTTACTTCTGCAGGGACAATGGGAGTGCCAACAGCAACAACACCAAAGGGATATGATAAAAAAAAATTGCATAAGCCAAAGTAGAGAAGAAGGATTGAGATGAATTGAACCCATCAAGAAGAAAAAGAAGAAAGAAAAGTGGTGAACGTGAGAGGCTAAAGTACTAATGGGATTCAAGTCTTCATAAAACCTGCAACCAAGCCATAAACAAAATTTGTGAAAATTTGAACCCATCATGAAGAAGAAGAAAGAAAAGCGGTGATGTACCAACTATAGGTTTGAAGGGAGATATGGTGATGGTTGGTGACGGACGGAGGAGCTGACATCGACGGTGGATGGGTTGCTGATTACAGAAAAGAGACAGACAATGGGTAGGGTTTTTCGGTAACACCTATGATTGTTTGAATAATTCCATCTGATTCATCTTTGACATTCTCCTTCTCAGTAAAATCATAAAATTCTGCTCCAAGAATAGAATTTAGATGTAAAAAAAGAGCTAGATTTTTCCAAACACAAGAAGAATTGAAGAAAACCGATGAATAAATTTACCTTGGTTGGTGTTCTTCAAAGGAATGTTGTAACAGTAAATACTGAGATCGTGAGGAGAAGAAGAACTGAGGTTCGTGCGTTGGGAACGTCTGGAGTCGGAAGAGAAAACCAGCAAGAAATTTTAGGGCTTTAAAAAGACTGTGTATTGATGAGGGTCGGAACAGGGTGAATATATTCCAACAATTTTCTTTTTATCTATTCATCGGTGACAACTGAAGCAGACGATGGTGCCGACTTCACCAAATTCCTGAAAGTCTTGACGATTGAAGATTTGAAGGCACGTAGGGGAGGTGGTGGAGCAGCAGACGCAAATCTTCAGTTCTGAGAGAAACAGTTTGAATATGTGAAGTAAAGAGTCGGCCGAGTCAGTGGATGGATTAACCCCAGTGGAAGAAGTTGAGCCAACCGAGTTTTGAACAGTACCCAACTCGGGTATTGTTCATAAGCCTGTTGTGCTTTTATTATATATATAAATTTAAAGTTATGTCGTTCCTTGCGTGAAATCTGTCTTCCCCTCCTTTCTCTATCAAAGTTGAGTTCCACCATTGGTTCTTTATTCTTGATTTCAAATTTCTCGAAAAAAAATTGGATCGCCGCATTCTCCGTAGTCGTGACCACCGTCACCACCGATCGATCGATCTCCACTGTTGGCTCAATTCGTTGTCCTATTTCACTTTTTGTTCGTCTTTTTAATTTGGAGGGTTCCAGCCTATTTATGTAAATATCATATGCCGATTTCAATCATCTACAAGGTTGTCGATTTTAACGGACTGAAATGCTAAGAAGATGAATACATAGATGCGATGTAAGGTCCTTTTTTCTATAAAACCCTTTCTCCCTCTCTTCTCTTTTAGTTTTGTTAGATTTGTGACAGGTTTGTGTTCATCAGAAGTGAAGGAAATCAAATTGTTGTTGCCTCTATGCGCTTAAGGAAGATGGAAGTAGGGGTTCATATTCGATTTGAATTAACGTGTTATTTGTTTTTTGTGTGTAGATCTTCTTGCCATCTTCTGACAGCGCCGCACAGACTACGCACAAACATTAGGCTTTGTAGATTATTTGTTTTTTTTAAAGACTGTAGACCTAAAAAGGTATGTGTGTCATCTTTTTGGCGCAGATGTGGATGAGAGTCTTGAAATATCTTCAGACTTTTTTTAGCCTAAAAAAACACATATATCATAGTTTTTTTTTTGTTTTTTTTAAATTAGATTTATTCCAACTTTATCTATGATAAACAATTTGTAAAAAAAAATTACAATACTTAAAAAAAAATGTTTGACGACACAATCATGACTTTTGTGACAAATTTAAATAAAAATTTAATTATGATAATGGTCGTTAGAATTGTTTATATAGATATGAAAAAAAAAATCAGAATATTGTTTTATACTTTTTGTGCCAAATTTTATAAAACATTATTTAATGCAATATCATTCATTTCTTGGGATAAATATTTATGAGCAGTTTTTAATTAATTTAATTGAAAAGATAAAATGAAACTTTCGTTTAAAATCGAAGTTTCTTTTCATCCATTTATGTGTTCAATTCTTTTATCCTTAATTACAATGTTTAGGTATATCTGTGCGACCAAAGTTTGTTGGTTTTCATCAAATATATACGTTAATTCGTACAATTTTATTTTCACTTTTTATACAATAATACATAAAAGTCGATCTACATTTGTTAGTTATCTATAATTAAGTCATAAAATTATTGAAAAACTCTTTTAAGTTATAAAAAACAGTTTAATTAGATTTTAGTCTATTCTAGCAGCCTGCAGATATTAAAAAACAAACAGTCTTTTTCTTTCATACTGCAGACGTTTGGTCCACATCTTCTACTGTAGAGGTTTGTAGATGTGGTCCACAGACTGCATACATTTTTCCTCAGAAAAACAAACAACAACACCGAAGTCTCGAAACCCTAGAATATCACCTATAACCACTTTTAGGACTGCAAAGGCTATCCTGTTGAGTATATTCACCACATGATTTTTTTTTTGATAAAGAGTTCAGAATTTCTGATACCTAATTGGTGTTTCTTTTTCCCAGTTGAGATTTATGACATAAGATGAAATTGCAAAAGAAAACAATCTTCTTACAATTTGAAGGATGAAATTGAAAATTTATACAAAAGGTAACCGTTGCTGTGAAGCCTGTAAAGAAATTTGAGGCTTGCACTGTTAATTTGGTGGAATTAGGAAGAAGGTGTGAATTTTGGAGCTGAAAAAGACTGGAATTTTAAAGGTGACTATAATTTTGTGATTCTTATGGCTTTGTTATAATATAATCTTGCATATTCTTTTTAGTTTCTCTTCATATGATTTTGTCATGGTGTCTTTTCTATTTTTGCATGATGCGTTTGTCCTCTGTAGGATCTCTAGGAAGAGTGGTTGTGGACCTAAGAACGGTGAAAATATTGTAGATTTGAAGATGCACATCAAGTGCTTGATGAAATGCTTCAAAGAACTGGTAATATTGGTTTTACTCCATTATGGATTACACAAGATTCTTAGTCACCTGTTTAATTCTCAATACATTGCCCTTTGATTACTAAAAGTGTTCTTTATTGTGTTGACAACTTTGAGGACATAATAAGGAACAAGAAAGTTCACTCCTTTTGATGCTTACCTTACATCAGTACTTCAAGGTGAGCAACTACCCGCCCTTTTAGATAAATAATATCTTCATAGATAGCTATGGTTATACGTTGTGAATGTGTATTTATAAAACTATTGTGAGTTGATGTTGTACAAGGGATGTTGATGGAGACCTAAATGTAAACTTTAAGATACCCCTCCACCATGGTTGCATATTACTCATTAAGGCTAATGGAGACCCAAATGTAAACTTTAAGATGCCCGTCTACCATGGTTGCAGATTGTTGTTTTAGGCTCTTGTATACAAGTTGTGTCTTTTTTGAATCTTGATCTCACTGCTCTTCTTTTGTTGTTCATGGATGGAACCCATACATGTGTACATATAACTACAAAGAACATTGAATAGGGTCATACGAGAATTGATGAATCTAAAGATCAAGACTTTGTTTTCTTATCTTGAGGGGTTTGGTTGTTTGCTTAAAGTAGCCATCTTTCATGTTTCTATTGTTGAGTTATGTTACAAAATTTGTCTTTTTAAGTCTCGTGATCCTCAGTTCGCTTAATGATATTCACTTTCTTAATTTCCCATAGATGTTTGGGTTTACTCTTCAGGTGGAGATAGTTTATGCCTAATGTCATCAATGTTAATTTTTGGAGGTAACTAAAAGTGGGATTCTATTAAAAAAACACAATGAAAATACATTGCTATTTCTTGCATTTATAGAAGGAATTTAACGGCACCTCACAAAGTTTAAGTACCTAATGGAAATGTAAAAAAAGTGGCTCATTTTTGCATGCTCATTTCAGAATTTAAGGATGACTTCCAATTTTAAAGAGGAAATGCACTCGTAATCTTAAATTACCTGGTTATGGTTGAACTAAACATGATCAGATTGAATCATATATGTTTTTTGCTGCTCAAAAGTAATATTTATAAGATATCAACAATATTCTTTTATTAAAAATATAAATATTTACAAATAACTTACAATCTTATTAACATATACTTAAAGGAATATTTATAAATAACTTAAAATCTTATTAACATATATTTAAATGGTTGTTTTAATGTAGTTTTAGAACTGTTATTGCAAGTAATTAGTGAACTATTATATGTAACAAATTTAATTACAAAATAATAAAATGAAGTTAACTATATCTTTTTTTTAACATAGAACAAGAGATCTTAACTTTAAGTTTGCAAAAGTCACATTATTTTTTAAGGATGTTTGTAAATTTACATATAAAATAGTAATTAATAAAACATTAAAATAAATATTTATTACTATTTTAAATAGTAATAATACCATGAATCTAGAAATTATCGAGGTTAATTAGAACGTTATTTGATTGTTTCACAGGTAGAGTAAGATGCCCAAAAGAAAGGAAGAGCAAAAAAGTTGAACAAGTTGGCCAATGCTAGAGAAAAGAAGGTTGTGTGGTTATTTTTTTCCCTTAGTTATTAAGTATGCTAAGATAGCTAATTATAACACAAACATATGTAGGTAGAACATGAATAATTTGGGTTTAACATGGTTCAATTTGCAGTTTACCTTTTTCTGTTATGTCAAAACCTAAAAAGGAACAAAAATTTAAACTTTAGGAATATATTTATATGATGCAAATTTATAGCAAATTGGAAAAAGAATATCTAATTGTGAATTTCTGGAAAGTAAACAACTTTCAGTAGAATGTGTAATGAGTTGGGATTAAACATTCATAAGGAACTCATATCTTTACAATCTTAGCCATGAACATGGGTTTTAATGTATACAGATGAATTGATTTATTTTAGTTTTTTTTCTGGATTGGATCAATTAATCCAGGAGAGTTAAAAGTGTAATATGTTTACTGGCTTCTAAAAGTTCCCATGTGACAAAAAAAACAATAGGTAATAAACACCCATCTAACCCATGCAGCGCATGGGATTTTACACTAGTTTACATATAATTTTTGGATGTTTGAGAATACTTCAGAAAAGTCATATGAAAAAGTCTCAAACTAAAATTTAGTTACAAAAAAACATGAATTACCAGTAAAAATGACGATTTTATCCATTTTTTCGGTTTTTCGGTTTCATTACTTACTTGGTTCCATTAAAGTTTCATTATTTAATCATAATTTACGAACAAGTCACAAACTAAAATTTAGTGATGGTTTGACCATTTTTTCCCTATAACATACATTTTATCGGTTTTATTGCTGACCTAGACGCCTAGTAATTAAATGAGTTGATGAAATGTATATGTTTGGTTATATAATGTTCAGTTTACCATAAAACTTGATATCCTGATGTATTGTATATTTTTTTGAAATATAAAATACATCCAATGAATACTGCAATAATTGCATAAACTAGCAACAACTTCGTTATTTTTTAAATTTATAAGAAATTTAGAATTGTCTATCTAATCTTATGTAACACAGTATATCCATCTCATTAGACATCAACTCATTTTCCGCCCTTTTTTATTTTTTGGAATCGCACATTTTATTGGTTTTATTGTTCACATGGATATATAGTTACAAATGAGCCGATGAGATAGATATCAAATTTAATAACATAGCATTATATAACCCATTATATCCATCTTATCAATTTATTTAATGACTAAACGAGAATGTCAACAATGAAAACGGTAAAATGTATGTTACATGGAGAAAATGGTCAAATCATCACTAAATTTTAGTTTAAGACTTATTCGTAAATTAAGGTAAAATAATGAAACTTTAATGGATCCACGTAAGGAATAAAACCGGTAAACCGGAAAAAATGGGTCAAATCGTTATTTTTACCGGTAATTTATGTTTTTTCGTAAATAAATTTTATTTTGGGATTTTTTTTTTCATAAATTAGGGTAAAATATTAGGATTTTTTGGAGATTTCCCTATTTGTCCTTAGAAAAACAAAAGGGTTATTTTGTAATAATAAAGTTAATGGGTGTGGATAGAAAATATTGATATGTTTATTTATATATGAAAAAGATATAATTGATAAAATTAAGAAGATAGACGGAGGAAATGTGGTATAGAAATTTGACTGGGTGATGTCTATTTTGCTAGTCAAAAGTCAGTCTCACACGAATAGTTCATGTATATAGGAGGACCTCTTCTATATCCCTCACAATCCTCTCATCCATAATTTTTCTCAATCATTTTTTTTCCAAGGTTGTTAAGATTTGGATCTTATATATGATTATTTTCTGTTTTGCAATATCGTGATCGTAAGATTGAATCGGATCGTAAGATCCTACCAAAAACAATTTGAAACATAAAAAATACATATTTATCCATCAGTTAACAATAAATACTTTAAAAATAAAAAATAAATTTCTAATATATTATTTAACGATAAATAATTCAAAAGGGGTATTTTACGTAGTTAATCTAAAAAAATATTTGAATTTTTTTAAAAATATATATTAACGAACCAACGATCTTACGATCAATTCTACAATCTTACGATCTGATATTACGATTCTACCGCAATCCTAATGAAAAACGATCCAAATAAGATTGACATCGATTTACCAAAGTGAAATCGTAACAAACATGCTTTTTTCCTCCTCTTTGTCTCCTAAAAAACCTCAAAATCAAATATCAAAACACCATCACCATATACGTGAACACGAAGATGAGGCTATTAACCCACAATATTCTCAGATCACAGATCAAGGGAGTAACAAACAACTACCCTCTCAAAATCATTGTAAGAAAGGTTAGCGTAGAGGAAGAGACATTCGATCCTGATTATCTCAAGAGAGCGTTCTTCACTATCAATTGGGATGCCCTAGTCTACGCGTCAAACACCTTGGGATACACCGAGCTCCCTGGCAAAGTCCCCGATGCGTCGGTGCTCGATTCCGACGAGTTTTTGAAGAAATTCCACCATGCACTCCTTGAACTTCAACTCGAGGAAGGCGCTCTGATTTGCCCAGAGACTTATCGCCAATTCCCTGTTAAGAACGGGTCACCTAATATGATTCTTCGTGAAGATGAGGTGCGCATTGATAAGTTTCAACCTTGAATTTTGATTTTAGTATAATCGTAGGCATCATCATACATATAAACATTTTAAAAATCAAAATGACAAAATAACAATTAATGAATCAGATTGATTAAGGGGGAAGAAACATAGGTTGTATTTCATATAAGTTGTATTTTTTTTTTCTTTTTCTTATCTTCATGTATGTTTCTCACAACATCCTTTTAATCATAATATAGTCAAGTTCTTGAGATGACACTTGAGCTTCTAGTTGGACCTTGTATGTATTTCTCAGTTGAATCATTATATGCTTTCGATCTCTAACCTAATTGCCATATTTTATTTTTGATTCAGATGCGCCTCCCAAGAAAGGCGGAGGCCAAGAATAGAAAGGCGGAGGCCAAGAATAGAAAGGCGGAAGCCAAGAAGGAAATGAAACAAGTAATGATATTTTAGTTTTTTAAATAAATTCCTACTCTCAGTTTAATTGGAATTTATAGTGGTTCATAGCTAATGATCTTTTTTTATGATGATCCTAAATAGGCCATGAAGTTAATAAAGGAGAGACAAGGTCAAAAAGGTCGAGAAAACCAGCAGGAAGAACCACCAGAAAAAATTCAGATTGATTGGATCGCCAAACACAAGCCGAAAATAGAGTTCATACCTATGAGCAACGATATTTGGGATTATTACAATCCGTGAGTAGTGTTTCTTTTGTTTTGTTTTTTTGTAAGACCACAAAACCTCGGTTTATCTCAATCCTCATGTTAACTACAATTTGCATGAAATATTTGTTTAGGAATGCCAATGAATATTGTGCATTAGACCACAAAACATACTTTAAAATAGGACATTGAATCTAGATGTAGTGTTATGAGTCATTATAATCATAGAAGCATCAATATTCTTTAAATTTTGACCATTATTGAGCCTCTGTGGAATTGAAATGCCTTTCCATGAAGGAAACAACAAAATATAACTATTGTATAAAGTCATCTTGTTGATGCATTGCGATTTGCAAACAAAATAATCATATTTGCTGAAAATGTTTGTGTGGTTCTCCCTTACACCCCCCCCCCCCCCCCCACACACACACAAAGGTGTGTGTGAGAGAGAGAGAGAGAGAGAGAAGATCGAATAGATTTACTGTCGTTTTTCCTTCTTCAAATGTATTTTAGATATTTGATCGGTGGGCAAACAACTTTATCAGACTTTTCTATACATTTGGTCATTGGCATATTTATCTGTAATAAGCATTCACAAGCATCTGTTTAATAAGACTAGATTCATTAAGCCGCTTTCCTTCTTGGGCATGAAACTATAACTATCAGCAAAAGGCGACCGAAAGGCGACCGAAAGAATATGATGTTTAATAAGTAGCTTACGTATTACAATGAGCAAAACTTATTTTAGATGCTACATGTAGATTCTACATATTAGATGTGGCTTAGTGAACATGATGAAATAACATGGTTAAGACAAACCATGATTAACAACGAGAGGATTAGAAACATCTCTTATCATGGACTTCTTTTCCTTATTGATGATTTTAGAACCCCTCAAATTCTGGTAACCATTTGTTAGAGAATTACTTCCATCAATGTGCATCTTTGATGGTTAAAGAACCCTTCACTGCCCAAACGGACACAACAATGATATTTTATTAATGGCTAGATAAAATGATATGCATAAACCCGTACTTGCAACTAGATATTACACTACTAGAAAGATGAGTATTACCAACAGATTTTAGCGACAGAATACCAAAGACGAATTATATGGATATTAGCGACGTTTTTTTGCAACGGTTTGGCAACAGAATAAAATCGGCCATTAATCCATTACAACTTCCGACGGTTTACCGACGAAAATTAACAAATTTGAAATTCCTTCGTTAATCTGTTGGTAAATTTAAGGACAATTTGGTAAATCATTGTTTTTTCACTTAAGTCGGATTGTACGTGGATGACCTAGATCATCAAAAGTCAAAGTTTTGATGGGCCTCCGCATTCCCGAACGACAACACCTTGTTAGGAAAAACAGCCTCAATGTTCCCAACAATCTCCCAATAACAATAATAGAGAAAAATAATTGGACACAAGAATATACGTGGAAACTTCAAAACCGGAGAAAAACCCACGGGACTCTAGAGAGAACGGTCCTCTATATGATAAATTGTTACAATCACATAGATTAATCTCTCAAACCTCTCCAAAAATACTGAGACTTTATCAAAATGTTAACAAAGACTTTCTATACTATAAGACAAGAAAAGAAACTCTAAAATAAGAGAAAAAGAACTAAACACTTCAAGTGTATTTTAGTTGGGGTGCTTTGAAACCAAAGCATTGGTCTTCTTTTATAAGCTTGTAGACCTCCCAAGCTTTCATCCTTCTAGCAATGTGGGATGGAAAACACTATTCATTATTTAGCCAAAACTCAACAATCTCCACCTTGGATAAATGAATAAAAAAACGTAACCACATAAAAGGAAACATTGTCTTCACCGTCAATCATAATTCTAAAGCCATAGAATTATCATACTGCACCATAAAAGACTATCACCACTTAGAATAAATCATTCTAAGAATTTCACATCGGCACATGTTGAAAAACTTGCTGAAAAATTATGGGGCAACTTCCCCGCTTGGCATACCCGGAAGTTCATCAGCCATCAACATCATCTTCACCACACATCCTGCATTTATGCCAATCCAATGTTCATGTGTAACTTGTGAACCCTTTAACAAAAACTACATCCCTTTTCATGGTTGCACGGACATACCATAGGGATGACATGACTTCAAAGGAAGTCATCTGAAATGTACCAAAATTTCATAGTAAAATTTTTATTTTTAAAACAAAAAATCATACAAACGAGTTGTTCCAAACCGATCAAAGTAAATATATTATTTAAACATCAGAGTAATATCATTAATTGCCAAGGCAAAAAACTCTGAGGGATGTTGTGCAGTCACGTCGGACCCTTCTCTTTTTGAATCGGAAGTACCTGAAACCATAAAATATGAAACCATAAGCACAAAGCTTAGTGAATTCCCCAAAATACCACATACCATACATATAATAGAGATTGCTATGTGTCAACCGTAGTCTTGTCATTATGCCACGAGCCGTATCATGGGCTTCCTTGTCCGGCAGGGGGATAAAACCCTAGGTCTTACAGACAAGTGCCAAGAACCACCTCATGGTCTTCCATGCAAGTATCACAGAGACAACGAGCATACTACATATATCTACCAGGGTCTGATCCCTGGTCTTGCATACAGTTTGCCCGGAACCACCTCCAGGTCTTTCATACAAATGCCAAGGGCCACCTCCTGGTCTTCCTATATAACATAAGCTAATGGGTCGGTATTGGTGCATTCGACCCCCGAGTGCAGTGAGGAGACTCACCTGAATCACAAAGCCAACTAACACTCATCTCAAAACCATGCCGACCACAACTAACTGCTCTACCACCAAAAGATGGGTGCTTAACACCTCCTATCAATCCACACAAGGTAAACCCTAAGTCTACCTTCTAAAAATAAAATTGATCAAAAGTCAACCCAAGCTAAAAGTCAACGGTCAAAGTCAAAGTCAACAGTCCATAATGCCGACTATCCATCCTCACGTCGTGACCAGGCCTTGGTCACGTCGTGAGAGCTCACTCGGTCTGATTCCAAGTCATTACGAATCAACCTAGTCAAATCAGTTAAGGAAAGTCACTTGAGATGACCTCACAACGTGATCTACCCTTTTTCACGTCATGAGCCGCAAGAAGCTCGTAAGAAAAGGGACCATCCAATCCTCACATCGTGAGACCCATTGTCTCACGTCGTGAGCACAGTTTCAAGCCAAAAACCCAACATTTTATGTCCTTAATCCATTAATCTTTGAACTCTAACTTTCCAGAAGGTCTTATACCTCCGTAATACACTTGAAAGTCGATGCTTTTAAGACATATGTGTCCAATACATGTCTATATTTCATTTAGGTCAAAATTTGAAGAAAAGAACATCTAACTTTCATGCAAGGTTCCAAAACCCAACCATTGACTAGATTTGAACTCCATAACACTCGTAAGGCCCTTATAACCCATAAAGTTGCCAACTTTATGGTCTCCTTTCATTCAAACTTGCTCAACCAAGGAGGAAAGTGGGACAAAACTTACATCTAGCCACAAATAACAACAAATAAGGAAGCTTTGACACTTACAAGGGTACAGAACAATGTAAGGTGATGATGATGATGAGTCCTTGCAAGCCTCTTCAAAAGATCACCTTTTTCTTCTTCTTCACTTCTTCTCCAAACCAAGAATTGCTCCAAAATGGCTAAGAATCAACCAAGGGACGAAGGTTAGGGTTTTCTGAGGTGAAAGAGGGTTTGGAGGCTGATGATTGATATTGTCATATTTATACATATTTTTAGGCAATATTTTAATACATTTTTATTAATATTTTGGTTATTTGCAAATATATAGGGTACTTATAAGATTTAATTGTAATTTGCAGCCAAAATGAACATTCTTGAAGAAAAAGGATCAAAAGCGACAATAAGTGGAACTTTGGAGGATTGGAGCTTAAACGATGAATGTTTCAACTAAAAGACGACCTCACGACGTGAGGAATCACCTCTCACGACGTGAGTATCAACATTCTTGAAGATAAACATTCGGAGGATAGAATCCGTGTCCGATACAGATTATGACTGAGCTCACGACGTGAGCTTACCTATCTTACGCCGTGAGCAGGGTAATTTCCAAAAACTATATATATCCTTGGCACTTACGATTTTGAAAGTTATTCTTCTGGATATTGGACGGTTTAGAAGACGAATTCTGAAGGAAAACAAGCTAGAGAATTCAAGTGTTAAGCATCCAAGGAAGAATAAGTGATTGAAGATCATAACCTTTACTTTAAGTTGGTACATTTGACTATGTCTTTATTTATTGAATTTGTTTGTTTGATTTCAGCCATGAGCAGCTAAATTTAGTTGCTTCTGTTTAGCTAGATGAAGCTTCAACTCATTTATTAGTTTATAAATTATGGATTTTACTAGTTGGTTAAATGTTCGTGTTTGATTGTTAATACCTAGCATGCTAATATTTGATACTTAAATTGCTTGAATTCATGTTTTGTGTAGCTTAGTGATAATTAAATTACATGAACTTGACATCTAGTGATTTAGTGACCACTGAATTGCTAGAGCTAGGATCGACAAAATCTTAGATAAGTAATTAAGGTAATTAAATTTAGCTATGCTGGAGAACATATATTATGACCATAATTGTGTTTGTTTAATCAATCTTACATAGCTCCATTCATAATTCATAATTGATTATGTGTTCAATTATGTGTGACCATGCATAGTTCCACATGAATTAGTTAAACATTAGTATATTTGGACTTCAATTATTAATAATATAACAATTGGCAACCAACGTGAATTATCCTTAATTAGTTGCTAATTATTGAGGAGAAGTGGATTCAAACTAAACACAAGTGTTTTTAGTCATTGATTGAATTTGATAGTTAAGTGAATAAGTTTGTTTGAACTTGCAAAATCGGATAAAACCAAATTAACTTTTGCTTTTCTTAGATTAATTTTTAGTAGATAAATAAGTTAATTAAAACTGTTCCCTAATTTCGATACCCGACTGATTGTGCTATATGATTTGCGAATAGATCCACTGCCTTAAG